AAAACTTTTTGGAGTTTCATTCAATTTTCACTAGGTAAGTCTAATGAGTGGGGGGGAGTATACTATCTGAGTGGGCATTAGGTCATGTCATCTCAAAAGCTACATATGTTGAGAACTACTATAATTAGCTGAATATCTCATCCACCCAACACTTGAAAGTATAAACCTTACCACAGATCAGAACCTAAAGAAAGAAAATTCTAGACATGCAAGTCAAAGAATAAACAGCATTTAACTGAGTAGATGCTAGCATCAGACTGGCTGGTACCTGACTTAAATTCTCACGTCCTCTGATTCCTGATTTTCACTTCACATCCTCTCTGTCACATATAAACGCTCAATAGCTTCCCATTATCACCACCACCTCCTGTTCACGTTTGCTGAATTAAGGAGATAAGTAAAAGATTTAGGGAGGATGCTCCCTTAAATAAGAGAGTATTAATTCAAACAAATCCTAATAGGAAGAATACAATATAGCACATGTTGATAAGATCATTAAAAGTCCAAGCTCATCTGCCAAATAAGGTAGGTTTATATTCTATTACTATGTCTAATTATGAAAGGAAGTCTGTATACCACAGTTTATCTGACAATAAAAACCTCATTCTAAATCAGTTTTAAATAGGGAAAATGATAAAGGTTGCTATTATAACCAGTCCCAAGCTGGCAAAATTGTGGACAACTATTCTCCATTCAAAAAATATAAAAGGACAAGTTCAAAGGAGATTTTGATTAGTACCTCCATCAAGGGATTTCAAAGTCCAGCTTGACCCATATGTGGGAGGAAGGGTCATATATGATAATTCACAGCTACAGCTGCACACGTCTGAGAAATCCCATAACCGCAACCCCAAGATATACAGGCCATGAATAGTCTGGCCAGCTGCCTTCTTTTGGGATGAGCAACGCAATGCATGTTAATGGAGACAAAAATAAATTAAGGCACGCAGAGCCCCCAAGCTGGTGTGTGAAGTGGGAAGGCAGTATCATATCACGTGGCAGCATCTTGGTATCTGTCAACACATTTTGTCCCAAAGGAACCCCAGCTGAGAGGGGGGAAAGATACATGTAGTATAGTTAGGCAGGGCCAAAAACAAAAAGTTAAAATTAAATTAAAAACACTCTGACAAAGTTGCTTCCCAGGAAGCATAGATGGCATAACAGAACTGCTGAGCTGCCAAGCCATTCCCTGAAGAGTGCTTCATGGCTGTGGTATTTCTCACGTCACGTCTCCAGCCATCCACCTGCCCCTCATCTCCCTAGATCCTCAAATAAAAGCATTACCCATTTTTGCTGGGTGAAAAATACAACATTTGTTTAGCCCTTATGACCAATTTGCTCATGGTGGCTGACATTCTAAAATAATGCTGCCACCTAGCTCAACTATGTCTCAGCTGGAGGTGTGCAATCCAATCTCAAAGCATTCCTCTCCAAAAAATGAGACTTTGCAAGATCAGACTGTTTCAGCCTCAAAATATGTTGCCCACCTCTAATACTCTCTAATACTGAGCTGGCAATAGAAACCTTGTGTGGGGTCATCTGATTTAATCATTTATGCTATCCTAGAATAGTATTTGCCATAGTCACAGAAATCTGTTAGCACTCTATGGCTTACAGATGATTTCTTATGACTCCTGTTTAGTTAATAAAAATGTCAGCACATGTATTATAACTAAACATAGTCAGCCCTATTGGGCAGTGCTGGGCTTCAACAGTGTTGGACTCAATCCTGAAGCCCAACACTGCCCAACAGATACCTGCCATGAAAGCCTACAGCAGTACATAGTCAACCCTGCTCATCTCCCCTCTCCCTCCCAGCAAGGTTGCAAGAAAAACAGAAGAGATCCTTTCTTTTTAGATTAGCCACAATTTAATGTACTATTCAAGCCCTAAACTATATTTGGTTTTACGCTGAGTGCAGAGCCAAGTTTAAAAACCAATCAGCGGTGAAGCTCACAGGATGACTTTAAGGCAGTCACTATCTTTCAACCTAACCTTCCTCCCAGAGGTACTGTGAAGATTTAAAACAAATTAAAAAGAAGTGGGGCGGGGGGAGAGGAAGGATACTGCATGTTGCCTTGGTTTCCTAAAGCAAAAGCAGGCTATACACGTAATACATAAACTATAATTTAAAATTAATTTGACTTGTGGTTCAGATTAATCACTGTTTGTCTAGAGTCATACAAAACTGATAGTGTGGTTAACTTAAAATAGGAGTGAACATTTTGGAACTCTTTCTGGTAAGCTAAGGCACATAGGTTTTGAAGGAAGCTAAATGTGTTCTCACATTTATTTGTTACACTTGTTATACTACCAACCATCCAAGTCATACGAAACCATGGGTTAACACCAACTAACTCATAATGGATACATATAACCAATGCTAATCACATGAACAAGGTTGGTCCCACACAGAAGAGTAAAATCACTGTGGGGTAATGAGCACCAAAGATCTGTACCTGCACATGCTCTAAATACTGTAGACAACTTGACACCTTCGTTATATTTTTAGACAACTACTACATGTTGTATAACTTGTTTTTCAGATGTAGAAAAAAAGATGGTAAAGCAAATGCTATCAACCAGGGAGGTATCAAGCCTTCAAAAACAAAAAATGTTTCAGACTGCACTGGAGCTGTGGCTATTCATGGGCATGCTTGCAAACACAGCAGGAGCAGCTTGCTAAGCAGCAGTGTGATCCAGGAAAAAAGATGCAGCTGCTTCAGCAATTTCAAAAACAATGCCTTGAACATGCTCCCATGTGTTCCAAACATCTCTTTCAAAGGGTTTATACAGCCCTCTTGGCCACTAAAATTGCCAAAATGGAAGACAACTGCTGTGAGATGGCCATTCTGTCCACAGAAATGAGAAAAGGTAGAGCTCCATGGGACTTCAGTAAATGCAGCAATGTGAGAAGCAAAGCAAGTATCGCATGAAAACAACAGCAACACTTGAGGGATAGAGAAATTATCCTGATTCATGCTGTGATCCTGCTCCATGCGTAGGTAGCAAATCCCCTTGAAGCACAAGTTAAATGCAAACATGCCTCTGCTTCTGCTTTTCTATATGCTGGACTGGAAAGAACCGGGCTCCTATCTTCACTTACAATGATGCTCACTGGATAAGTTCAGCCCAATCACCATCTCTCAATTTAATCTCATAGGGTTGTTGACAGGGAAAATAGGGAATGAAAGGAAGGGTGTAAAGTGCCTTAAGCTTCTGGAGTAAAGGGGAGGGTATAAATTCAACAACAACAACAAACCATCAAGGCCAAGTCATTATAGCATGGATAAGCAACCAGATACTCTCTACGCATGTTGATCTACAACTCCCCTATTTTCTAGGCAGCCCAGTGTGCTCAATATGAGAGTTGATCTCCAACCATTAAGTTGCCTTATCCTACTATACCGACAAGTTACTGACACTTGTTACGTTGTCAACGCTTGTTATGTATTTGTAATTTATTTAGAAAATATACATGATACCCACTCCCTTAATAGACTATAGACCATTATATAGCAAATATTCTTGCTAGCCTCTTCTGAAAATGACTCATATGCTAACTCTCACTTTTAAAATTCTAATTTTCCAACATCTGGAATCTTGCTAGCTGTAAAATGCTTAGAAATTAATGAGGTGCACCTTGAATTCAGGGGGCTGCAATATGCCAGTTTAATTCTGCACAGGAGCAATTCAGGCTTTACTACAAAGGAAAAGTTCATCACTTGACCTTCTACACAAAAACTTTAGGTAAAGATGCATACCCAAGAATGCAAAGTATTATCCATCATCAATGACAATTAAACACAAACATCACATGAGACAGATAAGGTCCAGAATACTTATTTAGCCCAATTAACTCTTTAAACAGTTCATTCTAGAAGTACAGTTCTTTGCCTTTGGCTTACAAAAAAGTGAAAAGCAAACAGAGCAAGCCATCTATACACACACTGCTAATCAGCTCTGCAGAATGAACTGGGTTTCCTTTTGGTTTATTTTTGCAAACCTGTACACAACTTTGCATCCCCAAATAATGAATTTAATTCTTACTAGATTTTTAAAGGGAAAGGGGAAAAGTCACAGCAAATAAACTTATTTTAGTTCAAGTGTTTGGGGATCAGGCTGAGTACCACTTCAACTGCATGAGGAAGTATGCAACTGCAAGTATGCACAAGGAAACAAAATATATATTTCCACACCAGTGGCAAAGGATAGTACAGCCCCTTAGCCTTCCTCCCTCGGTAATAATTCACCCAGAAATCGAATGATTTAAATCACAAAGTTATTGTTCTGCTTCCTATCCTTAATAATTCAGTGGCAACATTGGCCAAGAGAATAACTGATTAATTTTGGTGGAAAATCCAAGTAATGAAAGTGTGTTTTTTCCTAACACTTCTTCCTCCATTCCTCAACATTTTGTAATTGCAGGATTATTAATGGGAGAAGCACCTCCTCTAAGCAGCAGAGATTGCACTACTCTAAAGGCAATTGCTTATGCAAAACAATCCAATCTACAAACTTTAGCTCTGAGTGAGGAATAATTTACACCAAGGCCTTTCATTTTCACAAATGATCTCTGGGCCACAGACAAGGAAGTGACAGAGCCAGATGGCAACCATGTCTAGAAACTACCAAGTCAAGGTAAAAGCCTGAAAATCTACCATCAGCCTTTTTACCCAATACAATTTTCTTTGACCTCTGTGCACCTTTGGTGCTAAGAGAAATGTAGTCATGAATTACTGGACCATAAACTCCCTTGTCAGAATTACAGCTTGGTATTAAACTGCCAGATGTTTTTTCTGCCTCTCTTACACTTTTTACTCAATCACCCCATGCCTGCATGCGTGTGCTTCTCCACCCCTGGTTTGCTTTCACAGGTAAGGTTGCAAGAGCTCTTCTAACCCTACTATGTCCGATTTGATCAAAGGGTTCCTTCATAACCTTTAAGATTTCAGTCACCATCACACCTAATACAGGCTCACAGGCAACTTGCCACTCACTTTTAAGGGCCACAATGAGTGCCTTTCCATCCTTTATCAGCTCCTTGATGAACTTGTTAGTCTTGTCCAGCTCAGCTTCATGAGACTTTAGCCTTTCTCGGAACTGGGGGCTGTCCAAACAGCAGTCACTAAACTCCAAGGCAGGTAGCCCCATGATTTCCCAGAGCCCCTCCAAAGCCAGATCTACCGCAAAAACCAATCAGCTGGAAGAGAAATGCCCAGGAATGGAAACCTCTCCCCAAGCGCCTTAAATCGAAACAGCAGACCAACCATCAATGTTGAAAATGTTCATCTAACAAAATGCAAAGAGTCCCCCGCCAAGAGACCTGTTTTGATTCTGCTCAGTACCCCTAGAGACCAGGAGGTCAATTTTTCAGCTCTTTTAGCAGAAGAAACAGGTCTGAGGAAGGTCTTGCACGGAGAGCTGTTTCACACGCCAGGGCGAGAGGACAGAAGCCGTCTGCGGGAGGGAAACGGCGTTGCTGGAGCAGCAAATGCTACCGCTGCCAGAGGACTGCTCGTGGCCACATTTTCCAAACACGCTGCAAACTCGGGGGCGGTGCGGCCGTCCCTGTTGCCGGAACCTTCAGCTCTTCGCCGGGTCAACGTTGCTGCGGCGGCGGCTGTGGCTGCTGCCGCAGCCTGAGGAACCCACCCCGACAAGGTCTGCCGCGCGGCCTCCCTGAGCAGAAGCCGCGGCTCTTCAGCTCAGCACAGCCACCTCCGACGGCGTCCGGGATCAGCCGGGACCTTGCACTTCCCCACTGGAACGCGGGAGATCATTTTCCTACCGCTCTCCCCATTGGAACGTCGTGGAAAGAGGGAGATTTTTTTTTCCTCCCCCGGCCCGGACGCGACCCCGCCTCTTGCACCAGCGGGAGCCAATCAGAGCCCCGACTGCTCATGGAGCAAGGAGGAGGGAAGGAAGAAAGATGCCCTGCGAAGACAGACCGGGGATGAGGGAAGGAGTGGCCAGAGGTATGTCAGACCGCATGGAGTTGTCCCCCTTCCCCTCCTCTCCCCCCCGCCCGCCCCCCTTTAAGCGCACCCCCCCGCGGTGGGGGGGAGG